AAAGAAGCAGCAGCAAAGGTAATCAATGATCCTTTTAAAAAAAGACATATAAATTCATTTCAGTGGGTGTTGATGTGTTGATCAATTCCTGGGCTCTGCAATCAAAAATGTTAAGTGTATCCCAGTTAGAAGCATTCAGTTACCTTAGCAAAGCCTAGTTGGGTTGGGAGGAGGACAAGAAAGGAGGAAGATAAAATCTTCCCAAATAAATCTCTTAGGATTAAAGGGAAAAGGAGGGTAGATGTGAAGGGTCCCAAATAGCTCACATTTGGATGCAAGAGGTTGTGGAGATTGTGCCTCCTGACAGGGAAATTATTGGGATCTTTTATTTAGTTAGTTTGGGGGATCTTTTATTTTTCAAATAGAGTTGGGTATATGGTTAAGAGTACTGAGAAAAGAAAGCTAACCAGTCCTCAAATGGCAACTTCCAGGAACATTCCTTTGTTAACAAGAGGAGAAAGGAATGAATGGCAATCTGATCAAACCAGTTCAAATCAGGAAAAAGAGAAAGGACACAACGCAGCAAAATACGTTATAAATATAAAATGATAGGAAAGGACAAATGAGAACAAAGTGATGGAGTATAGTGGTTTCAGGGCACAGTTAACGGAGCCAGACTCCCTGAGTTCCAATCCCAGCTTTGTCACTTATTAACTGTAACTTTAGGTTAACACGGAGCTCTGGAAGTGTGGTAGGTTACACATTGGGCTACTATGAATCCACCAACTGCTCCATGGGAGAAAGACCAGGCGATCAGCTCCAGTAAAACGTGCAGGCTCAGAATCTACATGATGGTACTAGGTTTTTTGTTTGTTTTGAGTTATCTGAAAAAAAATGGTAATAATAATAGAACCTCCTTCTTAGGATGTTGCAATGATTAAATGAGTTATAGTACCTTACAGACCTAAAGGGCCTAAAACAGTGTCTAGTGTACAATTACTAAGCAAGTGGGCCCACTCAGTGGCAGCTGACATCAGTTTACTACTTAGGACTCTAGGTTTCTAGTTTCTCCTTCCCTCTTTCTGTCTCTGTCTCCTCTCCTCCTCTCTCTTTCATGCTTCTTCTTCTTTCCCAGAAGAGCTGATTCTGGAGCCAGATGGCCCAGATCAAGTCCTGTGTGACATTGGGCATACCAATTTAGCTCTTTGTGTCTCTTTTCTCCTCTGTAAGCTGGGGATCTGGAGAATGCCTCCCTCACAGGGATGTTGTGTGGATTTGGTACATGTCAGTGTGTAGCATGGAACCAGACACCTCATAGTCCATCCTCAATAAATATTCCGGTGTCATTATTGTCTTCACCATTCCTTTGAAGATTTCCTGAGATGAACTCTTCACAAAATCCTGCTCACATTTGGTCACCTGATCTTCAGGCAGTTCGACATTCGTTTTTCTTTTTTTGAGAGACACCATCTGGACTTTCACATTAGTCAATAAATGCTATTTGGTTATTTACTCTTGCATGCCCATTTCACAAGTCCTGTGTATATTGCTAACGTGTAGCTTTCAAAGGTGGTCTTCTTTCCCTACTCCCCTAACACATGCTTTTTCCACACCACTAGAAAGTTCCCCTTTGCTAAGTAACATTTCTCATGCCTAAGTTGTTTCACTTGTTAACTTTCAGGGTCCAGTATAACTATTCCGTTATCCAATAAGAACTAAAAAGAATAAGCATTTGCTGAGTATTTGCTGTACACGAGGCATTGTGCAACTGAGTTCTGTATGTTCAACATCTTGTGTAATACTCACAGTATCCTTAAGAATACAGTGACCATGATCATACAGCTAGAGGAAGCAGGATTTGAACCTGTTTGTCTGACTCCTCCTTTCCCTTTTTGTCCTTGATATATTATCCTGGGTGGCATAAATGGTTAAGCACTTAACTACTAGCTGAAAGGTTAGAAGTTCAGACCCACCAGAAGTACCTAAGAAGACAAGCCTGGTGATCCACTTCTGGAAGGTCACAACTGTGAAAACCCTGTGGAGCAGTTCTACTGCACATGACTAAACCACAAATAACAACCACAGTAGATTTAGGAATTAGTCATCTAGAACAATGACTATTGACAAGCAGCGTGGAGTAGTGAAAAGAGCTTTAACTGCTGTTAGGAGTCTCAGAGTCTGAGTCTGGACCTTGCCTGAGCTCCATCAAGTCACTTGGCACCAGAGTCTCTGCATTTCTACCAGAAAATTAAGGCACTTGTTTTGTGAGTCATCTTTAAGCTCTCTCTTTCTAGGCTTCCTGATTCTCTCTCTATATGTATACCAAGTGATTATTTTAAAAAGGAGCCTCTTATTTTAAGAAAATTGAATTTTTTTTTTTTGTAATTTAAAAACTTCGAATTCTTTATCAGGTAGTTCCAATTCCATTTCTTCCTTAAAAGATTTTCTGGCTCTGCGTTTTGGTCACTCTTTCTTGGTTCTTCATGTGAATGGAGGTTATCTGTTGTCTCTGAGACATTGTGTTATTGTGATATATATACGTATAATTGATGCTTGTATGTTGGTGGGTTTTACCCAGGTTTTTGTTTTGTTTTGTTTGCCTTTATTTTATTTGTTTTGATATATTTGAGCAAGCAGTGCTAAATATTATTTTTGCCAACAGTATATAATGCTTTTATTGTTGTTGTTAGGTACCATCGAGTTGGTTCCAACTCATAGCTAACAGGTGTACGACAGACTAAAGGAGACCCCGCCTGGTCCTGCCCCATCCTCACAATTGCTATTAATGTTTGAATCCATTGTTGCTGCCACTGTGTCAGTCCATGTCATTGAGAGTCTTCCTCTTGTTGTCTGACCCTCAACTTTACCAAGCACGATGTCCTTTTCCAGGGACTGGTACCTCCTGACAACATGCTCAATGAATGAGAGATGAAGTTTCGCCATCTTCCATTCTAAGGAACGTTCTGACTGTATTTCCAGTACGGATATGTTTGTTTTTCTGGCAGCCTACATGTAATACTTTCAACATTCTTCACCAACTCCATAATTCAAATGCATTGATTCTTCTGGGGCTTCCTTATTCATTGTCCAACTTTCACATGTATCTGAGGTGATTGGAAATACCTTGGGTTGGTCAGGGGCACCTTAGTCCTCAGAGTGACATGTTTGCTCCTTAACACTTTAAAGAGCTCTTTTGCCGTCAATTTGCTTCATGTAATATGTCCTTTAATTTCTTTATTGCTGCTTCCATGCACATTGATTGTGGATCCAAGCAAAACAAAGTCTTTGATAACTTTAATCTCTTTTTCATTAACAATGATATTTATTGGTTCAGCTGTGAGGACTTTTATTTTCTTTATATTGAGAAGCCATCCATACTGAAGGCTGTCTTCATCAGTATTTCAAGTCCTCTTGATTTCTGGCAAGCAAGGTTGTGTTATCTGCATATCACAGGTTGTTAATGAGTCTTCCTCCAGTCAGGATGCTGCATCTTCTTCATAGAATTCAGCTTCTTGAATTATTTGCTCAGTGTATAGATTAAATAAGTACGGTGAAAGGATGCAACTCTGGCACACACCTTTCCTGACTGTGAATCATTCAGTATCTCCTTGTTCTGTTTGAACAAATGGCTCTTGTACAGTCTATGTACAGGTTCCCCATGTGCACAATTAAGTGTTCTGGAATTCCCGTTCTTTGCAATGTCATCTATAGTTTGATGTGATCCACACAGTTGAAAGCCTTTGCATAGTTAAAAAAGCACAGAAAAATGTCTTTCTGATATTCTCTGCTTTCAGCCAAGATCCCTGTGATGTCAGCAATGCTATACCTGTTTTCATGTCCTCTTCTGAATCAGGCATGAAGTTTTGGCACCTCCCTGCTGATGTACTGCTGCAACCATTTTTTATTTATCTTCAGCAGAATTTTACCGATATGTGATATTAATGGTATTATTCAATGATTTCACATTCTGTTGGGTCACCTTTCTTTGGAATGGGCACAAAAATGATCTTCTCCAATCGATTTACCAGGTAGCTATCTTCTAAATGTTTTAGCATAGATGAGTGAATGCCTCCAGTGTGGCATGAATTTGGTGAAATATTTCAATTTGTTCCATCAAATCCCGCAGCCTATTTTTCTCCAGTCCTTTCAATGCAGCTTGGAATTCTTCCTTCAATACTTGATGATTGGTTCTTGATGATATGGTTCCTCTTGAAATGGTTGAACACTGATCAATTCTTATTGGTATAATGACTGTGTATTTCTTCTATCTTCTTTTGATAGTTCCTTATTTTGTCCATAGTATTGCAACTTGAGGCTTAAATGTTTTCTTCAGGTCTTTCAGCTTAGGAAATGCATGTTCTTCCCTTTGGGTTTTTTAACTCCAGGTCTTTGTACATTTCATTATAATACTTTACTTTGACTTCTCTAACAGCCTCTTGAAATTTTCTGTTCAACTTTTTTACTTCATCATTTGTTCCAGTTGCTTTAGCTTTTCTGTATTCAAGAGCAAGTTTCAGAGTGTCTTCTGACATCCATTTTGGTCTTTTCTTTCTTTGCTGTCTTTATAATGACCTTTGACTTTCTTCCTGTATGATGTTCTTGATGCCACAGCACAACTCCTCTGGTCTTACGTCATGAGCATCTAATGCATCAAATCTGTTCTTAAGATGGTCTCTACATTCAGTATAGGTTCCATATGATGAGGGCTGGACTGTGAACCACAAGGTCTGTGGTTTGAGCCTGCCAACTGCTCTGTTGGGTGAGGCTTTCTGCTCCTGTGAAGATTTAAACGCCTCAGAAACCCTATATAGGGTCACTAGGAGTCAGAATTGACTCAGTGGCACTTAAAAAGAACCATAGTAAAGGTAGTATTTTTGCTCTAGTGGAGTTGCTTTGATTTTCTTCAGCGTCAGCCTGAACTTGTATATGAGCCACTGATGGTCTTTCCACAGTCGGTCTCAGGCCTTGTTTTGGTTGGTGATATTGATGATCCTTATGTGTGTTTATGGCAGTATGTAAATTCTAAAGTGACTCTTTGTGTCTTGTTTCGTGCTGCCCAGGTACTCCAGGAGCAGATCCGTGCCCGGGACAACATTAGTTATGGAACTAATTCCGCCTTAAAGACTTTGGAGATGCGACAGCTCTCCGGATTAGGAGATCTCAGAGGAAGAGTAGCACGGTAGGTCTTCAAATGTTAGTAACTCTGATAATCAAAAATGATTTTTCCTAAGCTTCATTTTCGTGGAGATTATGTTGGTGACCCAAGCCATGGTATTTTCAATAACCTCATATGCATGTGGAAGCTGGACAGTGAATAAGGAAGACCAAAGAAGAATTGATGCTTTTGAGTTACGGTGTTGGAGGAGAATATTGAAAGTGCCATGGGCTGCCAAAAGAACCAACAGATCTGTGTTGGAAGAAGTGCAGCCAGAGTGCTCCTTGGAGGCCAA